AACATTTGATCCAATCCTAAGGACAGCTAAGCAGAAAAAGAGAATTTGATTTTTGGAGTTAACGTATTGCACTTGACACATCTGGAGTGCGTTTTTCTAGGACAGGACATCGGAAAGGAGTCAGCAGACCTGGCTCGGGCATTTACAGATTGCGTGGCCTCAAGCAACTCATTTGCCTTTCATGCTCGGTACTTTTTTAGGATATGCCATACCATGTGACATCATTCTTGGCAATAAAATGCAAGGGGAATTGGGGTGAGCTGCATGTCCAAAGTAGCCATTGCCAAGGGACTGGCTGGGCATCAGTCTGATGGTGGGAGGTGGTGAGCGATTGCCTTCGCACCACTTTTTCTTTTTTCGGTCTTCACTTATTAAACCTGACACACTTTTTTTCCTCGCTTTTGCCCTTCCGATTCTCTCCCTGTGCTGCTGTGGGTAGTGAGGGTAGTGAGCAAGTGACAGGGTGGGAGCTCACCTGCCAGCCAGGGACAACCCACTGCAGCCTCAAACCGTTGTGGGCCATGGATGTGCACTTAGAGATCGCTGCTATAGGCTTGCTTTATACTTCTGGTCTGCTACATCTGCTACATCTTTGTCTGGTTTATTTATCATCAAAGACAGAATACAAGGCTGTGAACAACTGGTCTTACCCAGTACAGCCATTTTATATCCTTACATACTTACTCCAGTAACCATTTGCGTGGCATTGCTTGATTTCTGCCATTATTTCACGATTCATTTTCATGTGCTGGTAACTGTTTTTCAATAATGATTGAAGTCAAAGCTAGATCCTGACTCCAGAATCTACTGAGATCAGCTTTTCTTTATATAGAAGAAAAACACATCTTCCTTATGAATGCCTCACAAACCGCTCAAAGCCAAATTCAGATGAGTTTTAACAGATTTATGGGAAGTTTTTAGCACAGTGCTAGGAACTTGACAGAAATTAAATTGTTCCTTCTTTCAAAGGAGTTTTACCAACAAAACTTACTTAAACTGCAGTTAGCAGGGACTCGGGTCATTACAGCAAGAATATCCGATCCCTTCAGTATAACTCTGTTTTCCAGTTTGTTTTATAGCTATGGTCATGTACATGTTCACCCGCTTTTCCTCATTCAGAAAATTAATTCTCCATAAGGGATGGGCAGCTTATGAACTGCCAAATACTCGCTTACCTACGCACTGGTTTTCTGTAGTTTTTGATATTCACCGTGGCAGACATGGTGGTGTTCTCCTTCCATGACAGGCAGCAAGGTGCAAATCTGGAAGAAAACATTTGACCTCAGTCTCTTTTCATGTATTCTGACTCTGGATTCCCAGCTGACATCGAAGGTAGTAAACAAATCTGGTTAGTTGCTAAGCTGGTTGGATTGTCCACTCCCACAACCTAAGGCTGCATCTAGTGCTGCTACCCACAGTTGCTTGGCCTATCAATGAAAACCACTCTGGAAATCAGAAAGAAAAGAGAGAAGAATGGATAAATGACTTGTCTTCCCAGTGCGGATGTTAGCCTAAAGAGACTCAACCCATGGAGAGCATGGCCAACTCTGGATGGGACTTCAGGGACATCATTGGACATTCTCCCACCACCCCTCCCTTTTCAGCAACCCCCTGATGACAGAAGTTCTTACAGGACCAGTCCCAAGGAAACTCCAGGGAAGACATGTGGCTGTCTCAAGGAAGATCAGCACCTGTCAGTCTGCACTGAGTAGGTTCTGTAGTGAGACAGTCATCAACCTGAAGAACTGGTATAATAAAGGAGGGTAGTGAGCAGATAACGCTTTTCTGAATAACGCTTTTCTGAAGGCAGTCTTAAGCAGGCAAACTCAGGGAACATGCCCATGCTAGAAGGGACTGGCCTTATCCTAACAGCAATATTTAGGCTGAGGTGATCAGGCATTGATTACAGAAGATGTGGATGGAAGAAAGAAATAACTCTGCAGTTATTTCTGGATACTTAACTCGGCCTATAGCTGGAGCAAGATTTTTCCCACCTGTGCCTTTATTCTTTAGAAGATTCAAAGCATGCAGAGTCGGTGGCTCTGAGACTTATACTGGATCAAAGAGGTAAAATTTAATTGTGATGTTTTGATCCAGATCTGCACATGCAAATGTGGATTGAGATTCATGGTCTCTCCTTCACAGGATGGGTCTGAATCTCAGTACCCTCTTAGAAGAAGAGGAAGTTAAAACTACAGATGAATCTATGATTGTTCCAAAGAAGAGATGAATAAACCCAGTACTTAGAGGTGAAAACAGCTATAGAGTAAAAACTCCATCAGTCTGTTGGAATTTGGCACAGATAAACCACTGGAGGACTGAAAGCTAAGTATCTGTATGAGCCTTTAGAGAAGGACATCAATTGCTCCAATAATTGAAGAAGGTCTTAAATGTTTCAGAGAAGGCAACCAGAAGAGGACGTGTGTTCTGTAGAAGACATACTTGGAGAATTATCAAAGTAGACTGGGAGTGGAGCAGGAAATAGGGGAGACTAGCCATAGACCTTGAAGGTCATATGGTGACCCCAACTTTCCTACTTCTCTCTCAAGAGAAGGAGTAATTGGGGGAGAGGAAAGAGGAGTCAGAGGATAGAATACTGAACTAAATCTCTTACCTGCTCATCCTCTAGCCTCTTGACCTTCTCTGGATTTAGCAAGACAACTTGAAAAGCAGTGAGGCTGCCCAGCTGAGAAGCATTCCTGGCTGGCAAACAGCCTCTTAGACAAACCGCTAGTTGCTGCTTAGTTGGCAGTTTGAGGCATATGGCCTTCGAAAGCTAGGCATTGTTGTCACTCTTCTCTGTGGAAGATGTATGCCAGAGCTTTTCTTTGGATGAGGCCAAGATGGTGACCTGGCACAAGGCACCTTCTTCATCCCCTCCTGGCATGCAAGTGACAGAAGAAGCTGCAGATATTCGAAAGTGAAAGAGAAGAAAAAGACGCTTGGTTCCTAACAGGCTTTGAATGCCTGGTGAGACAAAAACTGAGGCAACCACACATCTATGGCAGAGACACGCAGTAGGCTTTCACAGCATGGTGAGAAGATGTTAGAAGTAAATGCATCTTCAAGTGACTGGTAGCAACTAGTAAGAATTTGCAGCAATATTCTCATATCCAATAAATGCCTTTAAAAAGGCATCCAATAGATTTTTAAGAATAAGTGTAGAGTGGCAAACTGGTGCTGCCTCCAGCCAACTTAAAATTATAAAATACTAGTGACTCAGATCTCATAGTTTATGGACCACCTGCTTCTGCTCTTATTGAGGAAATTCTTCATTAATACAAAGCTCCAGCTAGATCAGCCTACTGGATTTACTCAATAATTTTGAGAAATGAAGTTTGAGTGTCCGCATGAATTGGACTGGAAGGCCCTTTTTCCTGTTTAAAGACAATAATATTTATAGCTTTAAACGCTATATCAATTTAAATGTTATAATGTTTCACAATCATGTATTTAAACACAGAAATCTGTTTATTTACCCAAACAAAACAGAGGAAATGATTCCAGCCCTCAGGTTTTGAATTCTCGTTTAAATATGTGAACATCAGTCCACAACTTAGAGATGTTCATGTATCTATGTACCTCCAAAATATTCATATTTCATAGGCTTTTTCACATTAATATTCACCAACAGTATCACAAAAGTTCTTTTTCTTTTACATAACTGTAAGCAACAGTAATTCTAGAAACACTAGAGAAAAAAAAGCATAGCAATGTCCACAGTTACAAGAAAAAGTGCACATTACTTGGTCACAATCACAGTCATTACTTGGAAAACTATATGTAACAAGTAGATATAAAATATCACTGATGCCTTAAACTCATTGTCAAAAACGGAATTACATAAAATTTTGTACATGAAATAAGGCAAATTTAGGAATGCACAAGAAACTTGTTATTCAACAAAAGCTAAACAACAGAACAGATAGTACAGTAAGCATAAACTAAAGTACTTTTTTCTATATACTTAAAAATAAGCCTGCCGTAGTGCACAAAGAAAACACCATTAATGTGTAATCAATATTATAAAATAAGAAATAGAGGGGTTGGGAAGAGTGGGGAAGGGGAGAGAAGAGTTTTATTATAGTTGCAGCTGCATCCATTTACAGTTTTGTACAGGTTTTAGCCAGGCCTGGGAATTATACAAATCATACCAGAAGTGTCAATGACCTTCCTAGGTAAGAATTTAGTTTAAATTAAGGAAAAATATATAAATACACACAAGAGTGCAAATTTTCAGATTGTCACTTGCAACCTCTTAACATTCATCATCTACATCCAATCACAACTAGAGGGACTTGTATAGGACAGCAGCAGTGATCATGGAGTTAGATGAGCTCGCTGTAAGAAATCAATTTATCTTTTTTTTTTTTTTCTCAATGATATGTCTTTTTTAAAAAACCCTCAACTCTATTAATTGCTAATAAAGCTGCAATATATTACAGAATGGAGTTGAGAATGGTATGAATGCAGGAAATGCATGCTTCCTTTGGAAGGTATTCCATAGATGACAATTTACAGTACACGGGGGAAGAATTATCCAGCATCAAGAGTTACTTGTTGTAGAAAGAATACGAATTTAGGAAGAAGGGCACAGTCAGGGGTTCAAGAGAGGAAGGGGGGACTTACAATAGCTCCTCAAAACATTTTCAGGACCAGTGAAAAAGTTTACCAAAGTAAAAATGAAAAATCTTGAATGAAAACAAAATCTTTTGTTTTGTTTTGTTTTTTTATAAAAATTACATTTTTTTAAAATACAAGATCCTTTTAATTGCAATTGTGCCCTGTAGCAACAGGACATTTGGCAACGTTTTGCCATATACTGCAGCTTTAAGTCCAATGAGTCAGTATCACATTCCACTAATATTGCACTTGGATCTTGAACCATTTTTTTTTTTTTTAAACCATCACAGCATCTTCTGTTTCCTCCACTTGTTAGAACGAGTTAATTTCTAGCCACTTTTTCGATATTTATGCTGACACACTAAAACAAAAGCAATAGGCTGGACACAGTAAAGTATCTCGGAAATACCAGAGGTCGAAGTTCACTTGAAGCACCTTAACACATCACTTTATGGATCAAGAACAGTGTGGCATTATGGTAATTAACTCTCCTAAAAGACTGTGCAGTAACCGAAGTGTGTGCTCTGGGAAATCAAAATGTCATTAGTGGAAACTCTGAGATAAGACCAGGCCAGTGTGAAGGTCACATGACTCAGTTCTGCTGCAAAATAAGGTTTTCCAGTTCGTCTGCAGAACGCAATAAAAATGCGGCTGATTCTCGATACCCTGCCACAAGCTGCCTCACTGCGTTTATTTCAGTTGGACTCAGCTGAGGTCTAGAGCTTGAACTACTGGAGGATCCAGAGCTGGTTGCTAACTGCCTCTTCATACTGAGATCTGTTGGACCTGCAGATGACAAGGGAAAAGAAAAGAAGCTTCAGATCCACGGCGAGAGGCGTTTCACAGGTTTGCAGCTACAAATGCAAAGTAGCAAAATCTGCTCTCAGCTGAGTGCCAGTGAGAAGTAGGAGAAACAAGCAATAACTGTTCAGTTACCAGTTGCCTTGACAGGAACCACAGCGATTCATATTTATATATGACAGACACTCTTTAATTTCTACTTACCTTAACATGTGGGGCAAGTCCACTGCCAGCAGAAAATTACCCTCGGGGGGGTATCTCAACAGTGTAAGCCACTTGCACCCCAACGCTTCCCTGGGATCTGGCACCGGTGAGAAGGCAGAAGGTTCATCGCCTGTGCCTCCCCCAGCTCCAGCTGCCATCGTAGCCTTCATGGCAATCTGTACCCTTGCAGTTTTTATCACAGAATATGAAACTTATGTTCTCTAGATATCTATTTTCACGTTTTATGCTTCAATCAGCATGGAGCCAGATCGTGAATTCCTTGCAGACATAGATAAACGGTCATTCACTTGACAAGCCCTGACGCCATGTGATCACTCATATAAATAGCTAGTCATGAGTGAGATTAGTCTGGTGACAATCTGGCTGCTGCAGCGAGGAGTACACTGTCATCTGTGGGGGCTGCATACAGCTGGCAATATATTGCAAGGATCTTGTAAGGCCTGAACACTGACAAGAGAACCTGCAGCAACCATGTTGCATCGGCAGCTTATACAGATATGCTTAGCACTTTCCATCAGAGAATGTTCTCAAGACCATGTATGCTGTGAGCAGAAGACAGCACTGCTGAGGGCAGTCCGCAGGTTATCGCAATCGGCAAATTTATCTGCCATCAGGAAGTTCAACTTTGTGTGGAATTTCCCTGGTCATTTGACCATAATTATTAATCAGCTGAGACGTACAGTGCTTTGATGAGATGTTTGCATTTTCCACTTAACACAATAAATAAGTGTAGATTTGGACAGGCAGAATTGGACTGAGAACTTTTTTAAACATAGAAGGATACAGATGGCAAGAATACCTCTCAAGCAGTTTATTATGTGCAAATCTGGAAAAATACTGCTCATTCATTATGACAGTGTAGCAAATCCTTACTTCTGGCAGATAAAAGATCGGACTAGCCTGATCTTAATCTTAATACTCTCCTGGAAATTGTGATCAAGTTATCCAAAGCAATGTATTTTGCTTTCCTGTAAGAAAAAAGTCGCTATTCAATTTCATCTGGACAATGTATGTCAATGCCAAGGACTTCTCAGAATTGCCTCACTGGATGGACCTTGCTTCCTAAAAAGACTGAAATAATTTTAAAATTTAGCACATTAAACTGTAGAATATAGAACACACCAATTCATACTCTAGAGGTTCTCCTAAATAATCCCACCAGAATCACAAGATTCAAAACCAGACTCACTATCTTAACCACTAACGGAAAGAAAGGTACTGATTTCCAGAAGCTGAAGATCTGGTCATAAACCTTGCTTATGTTTCTTCCTTTTAGGTTTATGCAGAGATACAGCTGAGACCACAAAGAATGCGGAGACTGCCATGTCCCCGCACTCACTGAAGTTAGCGAAAATCTCCCCTTGAGTGAATGAACGCGGAGCTGGGACTACGAAAAGGAACTACTCAAACAGAAATGGTCCTATTAGATCCTATTTCCTACAACACAACTAGCACGAACAGCACTTAGCCTTACAACTGTATTATCCAGTTTTACACTGGCATAAATGAACTGACTTTTAAGTGACTTCCAGTGTACAAAGGATAAATAAAAGGACAATTAGCTCAGTGAATTTGTTTCAGTGTGACCACGCGCTGCAGGGAAACGATCACAGTGTGAAGAAGCTCAGAGGATGTTTCTGAGTAAAATCTTAACCCAGCACAGATAAGAAGGGTATACAAATCATAAAGCCAGTTGGACAGAATGGTTGCAGGAAGCCATTAAAGACTTCTATATTTATTGAGGCGGTAGTGAAAAGCTACCACCGACATATTGAGGGCATTGTGCTCCATATGAACCTACTTTAACTTTTATGTTCTTTCCTTGACTCTCATTCATGTCACAGCCAAAACCACACAATATACGGCAGAACAGAGCTTCTGCGGCACAGCATCTTTTTCTGAAATGAAAGTGAAGGGCTTTTCTCATTGATAATCCAGATTTTTAAGTGATCAAATAGGATATTAAGTTTATTTCATTTACAAGTAGAAAATAAATAGAAATGTGCTTGCTTACATGTCTGAGGTTTTCCTTTCAAAAACTGATGACACAAAGTAAAAGCACCGCTCTGAAAGGAAAGCTAGGAGAAGCCCTGATGTCCAGCATGCATAAATCAGCGTAACTCCTCACAAGTCTATAGAGTCACACTAATTACACAAACTGAAGATCTGGCCCTGTGTTTCTAGATGTCCAGATTAACTATCATGAGGAAGTTTTTTAACTCTTCAGAATATATATCTTTGAATCCCTGAAGGTACTCAAAATATTAAGTTGTGTGCAAGTGCAAATCTGCTGTCTGCATACAGAAGAAACCATCAGGACCCAGAACTCCTCTTAGTCTGAGAGACTTCTGTTGTATACAGAGTTCTTGTATACAAAGCAAATAAATCTTGGATTTTAACTCACCCTAAGCTACTTCAAACTATTGGATTTTTTTTTTTAATTTCTATGTACTAGGAAAACAGGATTTTAATTCACTCCCCAGCTCCTGTCTTGTACTTAACAAGTCACAGTGCTGTCCTCCTTCCCCTAAAAGAAAAG